CGCTTGTTTGTTTGTTTTGATCTGGTGATGTCATAGTTGTTTTTGACAGGGGTTCACTGAATTTTCCACTTTGGGTTAGGTTTTTTGGTGCAGAGAGAGAGGGTCCCATAGTATTGATGGAGAAAGTGGCGTTCGTTGTATTTTCAGGTTGTGAGTTTATCTTCTTCTTTTTTTTGAGTGGTGGTGGGTTGTCAGGTAGAGAAGGGTTTTGTTTCGTTAGTTGGTTGTCTGAGGTCCTGGTGGGATCCATCAGCGTAGAGCTTGGGTGAGTTGGGGGAATGAAAAAGGGTTCGAATGCTTCGGGAGTGGAGAGTAATACGTTTCTGTCTCTTTTCAGCTTTGTGTATTTAGCCGGGGTCTAATTAACAATACTTAGTGTGCCCAAAGGGCCAAAACTATATATAAAAACTAATTTGTTTTATTTTTACAAGTGTTTTCCTCTTAATTTTTTGTTGTTTTGATGATCTACAGGAAAGAGTTTAGTTTCTTGTATATTTTTTTGGTTAATTTTATATCTATTTAATTTTTTCTTTTTAATTATATTACTAAAATTTATCTTTAGTTTGGAACCTGATAGAACATTGGCAACTCTACATCTTTCTAGACACAAAGTAAATAAGGAATGCTTAACAATTGCACTTTGTGCAAATGTTGATGGTTCACATAAACTAAAACCTCTTGTAATTGAAAAATCTAGCAAACTACACTGTTTTAAAAATATAAAAATTAAAAATTTAGGTATAGAATACAAAAACAGTGCTAAAGCTTGAATAATTACAACTCTCTTTCAAGATTGAATTGAAAAGTTTGACCACCAAGTTGGCCTTAAGCATCACAGCCAATGTGTACTTTTACTTCTAGATAACTGTTTTAGCTATAAAATTGGCAATACTACTCTACGATTTATTGATATTCAATTTTTGCCTCCAAACACAACTTCGAGAATCCAGCCCATAGATGCTGGGATTATTATGAGCTTCAAAAGGCATTATCGTCACTATCATGTTCAATAAGTTTATGTATATATATTTTTTTTTAAAAAAAAAAGATAAAAAATATAAATTTATACAAATAAAATTAAATAAGAAGTTACACTACTTATATTTTTAAGTTGGATGCTACAAGAAATCGAAAAAGGGAAGTGTGCAAAAGATTTAAAAATGAATGTGTTACAAGTCATTCATTTTATTATTAAAAGTTGGAAAGAAATTAGTGCCGTATAATTTAAAATTGTTGATGCTATACAAAAATTCTTTTTGCAAATATTAATTCCTATTTATGAAACCTCATAGAAGGTTTTTGTCAAATCACAGACTCTGTGCTTAATGATATTGTGAATGCTCTTGAGACTTTTAACCTCCCTGACTCTATGCAAGTTGATAAGTTCTTAGAAATATCTGATAAAAACATGTCTATAAAGTTTCTTTAGATAAAGAAGTTATTAGAGAACTTGTTGAAATATTCAAAACTGATAGTCTAACAATTATCAATATAGAAGACATGGAAGATAAAGATAATAGCATTGAACTCTCTATAGTTAGTGCCAGTACAGCAAATAGAAGTTTGGAAACTATATGCACTTTTTGCTTTAGCAAGATGATACGGAAGAATATATTAATATTCTAGAAAAAATTAAGAAATTTATTAATAAAACAAAAGTAGGCCAAATATAACAAAGCAAAATCGATCAATTTTTTGTGAAATAAATTTTTTTTTCTTGAATGTTTAAGTTTAATCTAATCTAATAAAGATCTAAAAATTTTTTTTGCTTGGTTTAAAAAAAAAAATTATAAATTTATTTTTTTTATACTATAATACTATAAATGAGTAAAACTGCATATATATTAACAATACTTACTTGTTGTAAATCTTTTCTATTTAATAACATCTTATTTGTATATGCAAGATATAACTCTAGTTTTGTTATACAATTTTTTTTGTGTTAGAACAATGAATATAATTGTATTATTATTGGCCAGTTTTAAATTTAATCATATGTATGCATTTATGAGAGTGCATATATATGCTCAGAACCCTAAAATTTTATACATATACAGAATATAGAGGGTAACTAAATCCCAAGCTTGGGACCAAGCTATGATTTGTATATAGAGAAGGTTTGCACTTAGGGGGTATGCATTTAGAGGAATATGACTATACTACTTTGTGGAGTGACAACTAGATCACTTTACTAAGCTGCTACACTTTTTTGAATTTTATTAATAAAATTTTATAAAATCTTATTACTTACAATATTTTACTAATTAATTCTAACTTAGTGTATTAAGTAAACTTATTTAGTACATAAAAATATATTAAATTAGTAAAGTTGTTTTTATTTTTCTTAAAATTTAAAGAAAAGTTAACTTTTTTGATTAAAATTTTAAAATTATATATCTATTCTCTAAATTTTAAGTAAAATAAAAATAACTCTGCTAATTTAATATATTTTTAGATACTAAATAAATTTACTTAGTACACTAAGTTAGAATTTATTAGTAAAATATTGTAAATTATAAGATTTTATAGAATTTTATTAATAAAATTCTATAAAATCTTATGATTAACAAGATTTTTCTAATTAATTCTAATATAACATACTAAGTAAACTTATTCAGTATCTAAAAATAGATTAAATTAGCAAAGTTGTTTTATTTTTTTTGAAATTTGGAAAAAAGATATATAATTTTGGAATTTTAATTAAAAAAATCAAATTTAAGTATTTTTTAAAAAATAGCTCTGCTAATTTAATGTATTTTATGTGTTGAATAAATTTACTTAGTATATTAAGTTAGAATTAATTAGAGAAATCTTGTTAATTATAAGATTTTATAGAATTTTATTAATAAAATTTTATAAAATCTTATAATTCACAATATTTTATTAATTAATTCTAACTTAATATACTAAGTAAACTTATTCAATATATAAAAATACATTAAATTAGCAAAGATGTTTTTATTTTTCTTGAAATTTAAAAAAAAGATACTTAAATTTAACTTTTTTAATCAAATTTCCAAAATTTTCTCCAAATTTTTAAAAAAATAAAAACAATTTTGCTAATTTACTATATTTTTAAAAGCTAAATAAGTTTATTTAGTATGCTAAGTTAGAATTAATTAGTGAATTATCAGATTTTATAAAATTTTATTACAGGTGACCTCCGATAATATCAACCTACGTTAATATCAACCTAAGCCACAAATCAAGTTTTTACAAATTTTATATATTAAAATTCCCTCGTATATATCAACTTTAATATGAATTTTCGTTAATATCACTATCAACATAATTTTGAACAGGTTCAAATGGGTTGATATTAACGAGGGTCATCTGTAATAAAATTCTATAAAATCTTATGATTTGCAATATCTTACAAATTAATTTTAATTTAATATACTAAGTAAACTTATTTAGTATCTAAAAAATACAATAAATTAGCAAAGTTATTTTTATTTTTCTAAAAGATGTTTAAATTTGACTTTTTTGATCAAATTCTAAAATTATGCATTTATTTTCTAAATTTTAAGCAAATAAAAATAACTTTGCTAATTTAATGTATTTTTAAATGCTAAATAAATTTACTTAGTTATTAAGTTAGAATTAATTAAAGAAATCTTGTTAATATTAAAATTTTATAGAATTTTATTAATAAAATTCTATAAAATCTTATAATTCACAATATTTTACTAATTAACTCTAATATAATATACTAAGTAAACTTATTAAGCACCTAAATATAAATTAAGTTGACAGAGTTTTTTTATTTTATTTGAAATTTAAAGAATAAATACATGATTTTAAAATTTTGATCAAAAAAGTTAAATTTAAGCATTTTTTCTCTAAATTTCAAGAAAAATAAAAACAACTTTGCTGATTTAATATATTATTAGCTACTAAATAAGTTTACTTAGTATATTAAGTTAAAATTAATTAGTAAAATATTGCAAACCATAAGATTTTATAAAATTTTATTAATAAAATTCTATAAAATCTTATAATTAACAAAATTTTTTAACTAATTCTAATTTAATATACTAAGTAAACTTATTCAGCATCTGAAAATATATTAAATTGGCAAAATTGTCTTTATTTTATTTGAAATTTAGAAAATAGATGCTTAAATTTATTTTTTTGATCAAAAAAATCAAATTTAAACAACTTTTCTTCAAATTTCAAGAAAAATAAAAACTAGAATTAATTAGAAAAATCTTGTTAATAATAAGATTTTATAAAATTTTATTAATAAAATTCTATAAAATCTTATGATTTGCAAAATTTTATTAATTAATTCTAATTTTATATATTAAGTAATTTTATTTAGTACTAAAAATTACATATAAATATATTCAAACTCAGACTAGTCTGCAAACTTCAGATTAGACTCAAACTGAACTCCTATTTCTAGTAGCAAGCAACTATTAAATAAACAAAGCAAGCTTGATTAGTATTGCTAAGTATTAGTAAATAATAAAATTTATATTGTCTTTAATAAAATTGTTTTTAAAAAATATTTAGTTACGCGTTGCTAATAAATAAAATTAAAACTATTAAAATTATTAAATAAAATTAAAAATATTTATTTTATTAAATTTTTTATTTAATTGGTAATTCACAAGCCAACCAGAGAGTAATCATAGTGAAACGTGATGCAAATTACTTATAAAAATTGTAGCTTAGCAAATATAGTATGCATGTATTTAAAACTTTTTTTATACTAAGTTAACTACTCTTCTAACTTAAGAGACTTTTGTAAAGCTTGTTGAGATATATTTAATAGTGATTAAAACATCTAAATTGGCCTGGAGGATGCCAAGATATTTTTAAAAAACTTTTCTTTAACTATGCAAATTTCTTTATAAAACAATAATATTGTTTTAAAGAAATTTATATAGTTAAAAAAAGGTTTTTTAAAGTTATCTTGGCATCTATCAAGCTAATTTAGATGATTTAACCACTATTATATATATCTCAACAAGCTCTACAAAAGTCTTTTAAGTTAGAAGAGTAGTTAACTTAGTACAAAAAAAGTTTTAAATATATGTATATTATATTTGCTAAGCTACAATTTCTATAAGTAAACTGCATCATGTTTGACTATAATCACTCTCTAGTTGACTTGTGAATTACTAATTAATAACATTAAAGTCTAATACTATTTCTAGAGTAAAAACTATATAAAAGTTAAATTATTTATTTAATAATATTAAAAATTTAAAGTAATATATTAAGTTAAAAACTATTAATTATAATTAAAAATAAAAATTATTTTAAATTTATTATTAAATAATATTAAAATTAACGATCACTTAAACCATAATTTTCAAAAAACTTTCTACTAGAAAAAACACTATATACTAGTGTAAAACAAAAACGAATTACAAAACATACTAGAGATCGTCGACTCTTTTCTATCTTATGCAAATATCAAAGTTAACCCA